CTGACTAGGTTGCCTAATGCCCCCTTCACATCCTTATTCCTCAAGGTGTAGATAAAAGGGTTCAGCGCAGGGGTCACTACTCCATAGAAGAGCGCCATGAATTTGGGCTGGTCTCTTGAGATGGAGGAGGGGGGCTGAAGGTACATGCTAATGGCTGGACCATAAAACAAGAAAACTACAATGAGATGGGAAGAACATGTTCCAAAGGCCTTTTTCCTTCCCTCAGAAGACTTAATTTTAAATACGGCATGTCCAATGCAAGCATAGGAAGCAAGAATTAAGCCTAGCGGGACAGCTAACATAAAAATACACACCACAGAGAGTGTGAGCTCATTAGCAGCCTTTTCTCCACAGGCAGCCTTTATCAGAACAGGAATCTCACACAGCAAGTGGTCCAATTTCTTGAGTCCACACAGTGGTAACTGCAAGGTAGCAGTGGCCTCTGAGACAGCATAGGTGATTCCAGTCAACCACACAGTGGATGCCAGCAGGATACAGATGCGTGGGTTCATGATGAGGGTGTAGTGTAGAGGCTTGCAGATAGCCAGGTAGCGATCAAAAGACATAATAGCCAGAAGCAGACATTCTGTGCCCCCCATTATGTGGAAGAAATAAAGCTGAGCTGCACACCCCACATAGCTGATCGTCTTCTTGGTGCTTCCCAGGTTAAACAGCATCTGAGGGACGATGCTTGTGGGGTAGCACATGTCCAGGAAGGAGAGGTTGGTGAGGAAGAAATACATGGGGTTGTGCAGACGGGCATCTAACCTGGACACCAGAATGATGGCCGTGTTTCCTACCATGGCCATGGGGTATGTTATAAGAAGAATAGCAAATAGAGGAAGCTCCAGCCAAGGACGATCTGCAAAGCCTAGTAGAACAAACTCTTTAGGATGGCTGTTATTCATTGTGCCGCCATCTTCACCTTATTTCACCTACAGCAGGGAAGTGGCAGAAAATGTTGGAAGCATTAGGAGAACTGCATTCGCCATCCACTCACAGGATCTGGCACCAGTGACTTACTTTCCCTCACTACAGAATAGAGGTGATGCCTTTAGACAAGTAACCTGACCATTCTGAAACTGAATGTAGAACAAGGATGACGATAACTATCCCCTTGTGTTACAGGGCGAGTTAAAAGCAAAGTGGGAGCATCTTGTATTTGGGAAACTCCAAATCAGGTTTTTCAAACTTGGCTTGCTTGCATAAAAATCATCGGAGGGGGTCGTTAAAATGTAGTTCATTGTTTTCTGTCACTGAGTGTCTGATAGAGTGGATGTGGCATGGACCCAGGAGACACTGATGCAAGGGATTACTGAAATATTATGAACGGTGAAGGTCTTGAGGTCGTTGACGCACAAGAAGAATAAATGCCAGAGATCTAATACTCACCATGACCGTCTTGTTCACACTCAACCAGTGTTGAATAGTTATATCATCCCTATGGGGAGTAGGAAGGTAGGTTTTAAACAAGTCTATCTTAGTATTTTGGAAATAAGTAAGAAATGTCAGCTTCCTGAAGTATGCACTGAGAGAGATGAGCTATGACATCTGTTTCCCATGCTAAAGAATTAATTTTTGGATATATATTTTCTTGCATAAGAACTTCATTAAAACTGAGCACTTGTTTTTTAATAAATTTTAGTTTATTTATCTAGTAGTTATTTTCCTTTATCAAGTGGGCTTATCATTCTGTTTTTATACGAAACTGGATGGTTATTAGTGATCCACTTGATTTCATGTAGCTACCAATCCAACTTTTAACTCAGAGAAGTGGTTTCAAGAGGAAAGTCTATATTCCAATTCAGTCAGGACCAGAGACTTGCCTATATCCCCAAATTATTTTACATATTCCTTTCAAGATAAGAGGCACATTGTAATAGCAAAATTAAGTAGCTGAGTAAAGCAGTATTTTGGAAAGATTACTGGGTAATAAATTATTTTATTTATACTATTCTTTCCTTTGGTGGTAAACTGTTCCACAGTATCTAGAAGCTTCTGTAGGATAAGATAGATCATGATTATGGTTATGAGGTATTCCACTGACAAATTCTAGGTTACTTCACCAGTGAGTTAGTGGTTTAAGGGTAACATCACCATCTATGGTTACAAAGTACAGTTTTCATATTCTGTATTTCATTAAATCCTCCAAGCCATCCTGTGAGGTGTCACACAAAACTCACAGTTTGAGAGTTTGTTTGGAGGTGCTAGCAGGGAGCACAGAGACTCATATACCCTTGACAGAAGAATGGTCCTCCTCTATGGGGGGAAGGCCATCCTTTTTGACCAAGCACACAGCTCCAGGAGGCATGCACATGGAGTGGCATGGGAGGTGGGGGGACACCTGTCCACCCAGCAAGATCAGCCGTATCAACCCTGGCGATAGATGGGGTGACAGATGTTGCAGCCAGGACTCCCTGCACGTGTTGTGAGGAGCATGGAGTGTTGTATAGAAGTGATGAATCACTATAATGCATACATGAAACAAATATTACACCCTGTGTTAGCTATACTGGAATTTAAATAAAAACTTAAAAAACAAATCATGGCTAAGATGTGAATGTTGTCCTTTGATTACAAACTATACCTAGGTCAGAAGTGCACAGATAACAAAATAATTCAAACAAATCCTTAGGAAGACCTGTTTACTGAAAACTTCAGTAAGCATTTTGCATCCATGAAATCATTTAGTACTCCTTCCCAGACCTCATGAGAAAGGAAATTTTAGTATCCAGATTTTAGAATGGTGTTAATCATTCATTTAGGATACCGTTAAAAATTCAATGAAAGATTGTTGCGAATAACTAGGGAGGTTCTAAAGATCAAAGATCAATCAATTCCTTAAATGATGTAGTGTGATAATGAAACTATGATTTCAGAGGTTCAAGATTCCAAAGAAAGCATTGGTAGTCTAGAGATGTTTCCTGAAAGGTGTTTCTCCTACACCTTATTTGACCTTGACATTTTTCAAGATGTGGCATGAGTGCATTGTTAGGAACACATGTTGGCCAAAGTTGTTTTTCAGGTGAAAATCCTATGTTTTAGATGGGATACGACATAAAAGCATGGTATGAATTAATTTGGTTGTTAAAATAAATATTTTAAAATTGTGATCCACCCACATTCTTAAATAATTGCACATTAAGATCCTTATGGTGTTCTCATGGCCCACCTTTTAGATGTTTCTGTCATGGAATACTGTTCAATTTTTTAAGGAGTAATTTCAGGCTTGAGCCTCCGTGAATTCTACCATAGTTAATTCTATCTAACCTTAAGGAATCAAGTATGCTTACAACAATTTTATTAAATTCATATTATTTGGAATTTTGTTCACTTTACTCATCACAGAGGCTAGTTTTGTTTGTGATGGTGACCAGCCTACGGCCTCCTTTATTTCTTTAGATAATTCCCTAGGGATACCTCGTCAGTGTCCTAATCGCTGAAATTCACTCTTGTTTGAACTTTTCAATTTTACTTTGATTTATAATCTTCTCCATGTCATTCTCATGGTACTTAATTATTGTTAGTTCTCGGATCCATGACTTTTGGATCTTCTAACGTCCATTGATTTTTAATCACTGTTTTACTGCATAGAGGTCTATTTATCCATGGATGCTTAAAGTCACATTAAGAAAGTGCCAGACTTCATTCCTTTTGACATCTCCTTTGTATACTCAATCACATTTTCATCCATTTTTGTTTTATTCATACATCATCTTCATCACACATTGTTGGTGTGAGACCCTGAGAAGGACTGATTACCAAGAGAAATCTACTTGCATTCTAGAGCCATGAAATGAGGTATTTCCAAAGTCTAGAAAACGTTTCCTGAATGAAATGCTTTCTCTTTACTTATGTATATTAGGTACAGTGATGTACATACATTTCCATCATCCCTAAGAATGGGCAATTTAAAACAAGGTTGTTGTTTTTTTTTACTCACCTTATTTTGGTAAATATCACTTGATAAAAAGGAATTTTGGAAGAATACATGAATCTCAAACTTTCAGAGAAGGACAGAGAAACAGATGAATATATAAGAATTGGCTTCAGAAATATTTGTTTTTCATTTGCAACAATGCTGCTGAAGAGAAAACACTTGGGTTAGGAAGACAGTGGTACATAATATGGAGAATGCATTCTGGGTGTGCTATTTATAGTATGTGCTCCAGACTCTTGGGCATTGTTTTCAAACAGGCCATTTGTGTTTATCCTTAATGAGCTAACAGAGACAGTTCCTTGGGAGGGGTCGCCATGGAAATGCTTCTTATTATGGTTAATTACTTACTGAACTGAGGGTGGTAGCAAGTCCTGTCTGTTATTAGGTTTGTTTTAAAACAAACTAATTTAATTTCCCAACATAAACACTAATTTTAAATAGGATACAATTGGAATAAAGCAAGTTTGAAGAAATGATTCTGGGGGATTTAAATGCCAGTTTCTTTAGCATCTATGTTCATTTGTAGAATATCCTTCATAGATTTTTTAATATACAAGAATTTGTCCACATTTTTATTTAAATTCCAGTTAGTTAACATATAGGGTAATGTTGGTTTCAGGTATAGAATGTTGTGATTCATCACTGACATACAATACCCAACGCTCATCACTACAAGTGCCTTCTTTAATACCCATCACCTAATTCACCCATTCCCTCACTGACCTCCTTTCTAATAACCATCTATTTCTTCTCTATACATAAGAATCTTGTTCTTAGGTTCTCTCTCTACCCCCATGTTGATTTGTTTTGTTTCTTATTTGAAAATATGACAAATCATATGGTATTTTTCTTTCTCTGACTGCCTTATTTAGCTTAGCGTAATACATTCTAGCTCTATCTACATCATTGCAAATGGCAAGATTTCATTCTTTTATTTTTTTCAATTTTATTTTTTATTTATTTAAAATTTACATCCAAATTAGTTAGTATATAGTGAAACAATGATTTCAGGAGTAGGTTCTTTAATGCCCCTTACCCATTTAGTCCATCCCCCTTCCCACAACCCCTCCAGTAACCCTCAGTTTGTTCTCCATATTTATGAGTCTCTTCCATTTTGTCCCCCTCCCTGTTTTTATATTATTTTTGTTTCCCTTCCCTTATGTTCCTCTGTTTTGTCTCTCAAAGTCCTCATATGAGTGAAGTCCTATGATTTTTGTCTTTCTCTAATTTCACTTAAGATAATACCCTCCAGTTCCATGCATCTAGTTGCAAATGGCAAGATTTCATTCTTTTTGATTGCCGAGTAATACTCCATTGCATATATATACCACATTTTCTTTATCCATTCATCCATCAAGGGCCGTTTGGGCTCTTTCCATACTTTGGCTATTGTTGATAGTGCTGCTATAAACATGGGGGTGCATGTGTCCCTTAGAAACAGCACACCTGTATATCGTGGATAAATGCCTAGTAGTGCAATTGCTGGCTCATAGGGTAGTTCTATTTTTAGTTTTCTGAGGAACCTCCATTATGTTTTCCAGAGTGGCTGAACCAGCTTGCATTGCACCAACAATGCAAAAGAGATACTTTTTCTCTGCATTCTCCTCGCCAACATGTGTTGTTGCCTGAGTTGTTAATGTTAGCCCTTCTGACAGGTGTAAGGTGGTATCTCCTTGTGGTTTTGATTTGTATTTCCCTGATGATGAGTGAAGTTAAGCAGTTTTTTCATGTGGCAGGTGGCCATCTGGATGTCTTCCTTGGAGAGGTGTCTATTTATGTCTTTTGCTCATTTCTTCACTGGATTATTTGTTCTTTGGGTGTTGAGTTTGAGAAGTTCTTTATAGATTTTGGATACTAACCCTTTATCTGATGTGTCGTTTCCAAATATCTTCTCCCATTTTGTCGGTTGCTTCTTAGTTTTGCTGATTGTTTCCTTTGCTGTGCAGAAGCTTTTTATTTTGATGAGGTCCCAGTAGTTCATTTTTCCTTTGGTTTCCCTTGCCTCCGGAGATGTGTTGAGTAAGAAGTTGCTGCAGGTAAGATCAAAGAGGTTTTTGCCTGCTTTCCCCTTGAGGATTTTGATGGCTTCCTGTCTTACATTTAAGTCTTTCATCCATTTTGAGTTCAATTTTGTGTATGGTGTAAGAAAGTGGTCCAGGTTCATTCTTCTGCATGTCGCAGTCCAGTTTTCCCAGCACCATTTGTGACGAGACTCTCTTTATTCCATTGGATATTCTTTCCTGATTTGTTAAAGATTAGTTGGCCATGCGTTTGTGGGTCCATTTCTGGGTTCTCTATTCTGTTCCATTGATCTGAATTTGAGTGTCTGTTCTTGTGC